GTTGTATGAACTGCTCCCAGTAAATCCGAGCATATAATTACTGGTGTAAGTGAGCAATGGAATGTACTGGGGACTCTGGACGTCACAGCTGCTCCCGCAGGATGAATGATCCAACTGGCTAGAAACCAGCCCCTCGATGGATTGCGGGCTCAAAGAACCGCTCCTTGCCTTTTGGGTTGGATCATTTCGTCAGGGGTTTGGAGCGAGGTGCATTTGGTTGAACCCCTTATCTAAATGGGGCAGCCGTGCATTAGAATAATTCAGAAGAATGACAGACTGAATGCAAATACCCGGTTTTTCTTGTACAGTATTGATACTTTCTATAATATATATATATATATATATCGTTAACACAACCAATTACATGGAGTTGGCAGATGTGCCACAATATATGAAGAAAGAGATGTGGAAAAGGGTTTAAAATAATTCAACGAATAGGAGTATCGTAACAGATGCGCCATTGACGCCATTGTATAGTCTGTGCGGAGGATTCAATATCAAAAATATATCTAAAGACCAAATTCCTAAGAACATTACATGTTTTAGCGTAAGCAACATAACAGCATCGTGGCCACTTGTGGTCACCGTCTCTTCTATCTTAGGCCAAAAGTTGGCATGTTCCGCATTTATGAGACAAAACAACATAGAACAAGGATGTGCTCTCCGCTGCAAAAAGCTCTAAGAAGGCAAAAGGAACAAGCCCAGGTTGCATAGAGTGAACAGGTTAGCAAACTAAAAGTCGTCGGGTGTCGGGGAATGCATCGAACACGCGCTCGCTATCGCATCGAATTCAGTTCAATAGGCTCCGTTGAATAGGACCGCATCGCGTCTTATTGACAGTGGCCGTTGCTGACTGGAGAAAGACACGTGGAGGCCAGAATATGACGTGGGAACGAGAAATGAAGAAATGCATGGAGCTAACAGGTCCAGTAGGTGTCTCTCCTCTTTCAGATTAGGGTCCGCAACTGAATGGTTAGAGACAATGTAGGTCATGGCAGCAAACCGACGGAAGCGGTAATTTTGCTGTCACTTCTCATCAAACCAAAATGCTTGAAAACCTGAGTACGCACAGTTAGGCTGCATACTCTATATTTTCCCGTCCCTAAAAATAGGCCCAATTCCTATCCTCCTCACACATTCTCGCTTATCTTGTCTGCATTCTGAGTTTGGTAGCGATCAGAGAAGCTCGCTGTACAATGGTGATTGGTGATTATTATTATTATTATTATTACCGACGAACGTACCGGATCTGACCAAACAGCGACGCATATCTCAGCAACGACCTACTATGCCTTGGATGGAAATATGAGAATCAGTGTCGGCCATGGTGGGTTGGTCGGGGATGCACTAAAATCCCCTCCCAATGCGGAGAAACGAATACGGATGCGAAGTATTCGTATTCACATTTTAATTTTATAAAACAACAGACCGGTACCCTACTTAGTACAGGTTTTCCGAACGAGCAGGCGATTGACATATCCTTAACAAGTTTGTCCAACAAATCAGGGTGCACGAGGTGAGATTACTTGACTTGACTTGAAAGTGTGGTGCAGACAATTCCTAATAAGCCACAGCATAGGACACTCGGATAGAAGTTCTAATACCACTTCATTTGCACGGCGTTGTCCATGGTTGATTCTTCCAAACCGCTCGGTTGCGGCTTGAGGGACGGACAGGATCTTTGGCTGGAAATTCTGAGACACATATATGAAACAAGTGATGTGAATATTACAAATGATGATGAATGTGCATTCCTCCGAAACCAATGCGCATATACACAGATATTGAAAAATGGACAAAAGGTCAAAAAAAGAACACTAAACCATATTTCCAATTCAACTGTATTATGGTGTGACAGCACCTCATCCGTTTAAGGCTGATGACTAAGCATAAAAATCAAAATCAAAACCGTGGGGAAATCATCAATTGATATAATAACAATTAGCCGGTGGCAAACAGAGCACGAAGGATCGATGATGGTTAAGCAGTATAAGTCTGCTACCACCAGCGTTTCATGCTTCAAGGTTTGATGTTCAAATTATACTATCATCACCCAAGTCTGGTCTTCAACCGTCCCTCGGATCATTACCACGCCTGCTTTCATGTGTTTCACCACTTGAAACCATAGAGCTTAGGTTACTGACATCTGTAATTGAACCGTCATTGAAAATACTGTCTACTACATGAAGTACCAAAATTGTCAGGTTTTTTCATGACATCTTACTGTGATGAACAAAAGACGGGAAAATACCCGCAGTCACGAAGACCTGCTGTTCAGTAATGGAAACCCGCAACCTAAGCCCCAGGACTTGGAGTGGTGAAAGACATAAGGTTCAGTTAGGTTAGGTGTTATCGAAACGGACGACAGCAAAGCTGCTTGAAACCAAAGTTGGGTGGTGGTAAAGAGACTCGAACTTAGGACCATAGGGTTCAAAGCACGCCGATAATTGGTTACTGACTGGTGTACCAGTCCTCACGATTATATCTTTTCAACACATCATCACCACTCATAGCCATTCACCCTCGCCCTTACCTGTAAACGTCGCTGAGCCGCCTCTAACTTTGATTTGGCCTCTTCGGCATCCGCTTGAATAGCCTGAAATTCCACACCAGCAGCACGTTCTGCCGCCTGATGTTTTGCGGCCAACTGTTCTTCCGCCTCAGCGCGTTGTGCCTCCAAATTTTTCACTCGTTGTTTTGCTCCGCGGACGCTTTCTGCCGTGCGACTGGCCGCACCTTTGGCAACCGCTTCAGTTTTCTGACAAGCGGACATCGTGGATTCTAGCTGTTCGAGGGCTGCGCCCTGATGCTAAAAAGTCACAATTCAATGAGGTTTACCGAAGGGGTAAAAATAGGAGCTTGCCTCATCTCGTTTGGCCGTTAGCTCGTTAATTCGTTGCTCCAATTTCACTTGAGATTCCTTTAACTAAACGTCACAAATAGAAAGGTCGTTGACAGCAGAATTTACATGAAGACTCACTTGTTCAAGTTTGGATTGTTCATCTACCAAAGATTTTTCCAATGCGGCTAGACCACCCTTGGTACGATTTTTCGCTTCCTATTAGTGAGCAAAATAGACTAGGGGAAAGACAGGAGACCAACCTCCAAACATGTGAAGTCATATGCGATAATGAACTTTTCCAAATAGGTGATTTCCCTGACGACCTTTTGGTATTCCAAATAACTACTACGCTCCTCTCGCAGTTTGGTAATGGTGGGATTGATATCCTCACGTAGTACCTATGAGAGATAACAATTATCACAGANAGAACACAACATACTCGATCGATTTCCCGCAATTTACTATCTTTCTTCTCAATCGTTTTTAAAGCGACTTCTTTCTTGTGCTCGTACAATTTGGTGCTGGCCGCCTCTTCTAACAGTGACAAAACCTATGTAGGGGATGTGTATCAGAAACATTCGGGCATGCGGTAACCTACCTCTGGTGGTTTCATGTTCAATATTTTCGTGATACGACCTTGCATAATCAAAAAATGCGGATTGTTCACATTCAGCTGTACTGAATGAAACAGGTCATGCACACGCGTATTGGTTGCATTGGTTCCGTTGATGAGATATTTATTCTTCCCACCAACTACAATCTGGACCAGCAATGAACGAGCGAGATAGAGGTAGAGCGCGTACCTGTCTGGTGATTGTCAACTCATCAAACTGTTCGTAGCCGTACGGGGACTGTGATTTGTCCGAATTGTCAAACACCGCGCTCACTGTGGCTTTGGTAATCCCGGCCTGGCCACTTTTGTACACAAGCTCTTGTAGATTGGCGGCACGAACCTAATAGGGTCCGAATGTAGAAAAGCTAAGGACCACACACCTGGGACAAATTGGTGATACCTAAGAGGAAACAAACTGCATCCAAGATATTTGACTTTCCAGATCCATTTAATCCGGTTATAGCATTGAATTGGGGATCAAATCCGTTGATTTCAGTTCGCTGACAGTAGGATTTGAAGCCGTCTAAGACCAACGACTTGATGTACATGAGGACAACTGGAACCGGAGTAAAACGTAAATAAGTGCAGACAAGTGGGCTTATCGAAGGACAGTGAGAAAAATGAATAGGGACAATGGATACACTGATAACTGAGCGGAGATTTTAATCATTTTCGGTCGGAAACCATCAGGGTAATATTCATATTACAACAAAGGCCGGCTTTCTTATGATCTGGAGCTTCACTATACAACTCCCATCAGGTCAACTAAAGCTTAGCCAATTCAAGTCTCTCCGTTTAGTTTATCGTTTTTTTGGATTCGTGGTCAATGGACTGTAAAGCATATCTTTGGTATGGTGCAATAATTACTAGAAGAAATTGGAAGTGGAAAAATCAGACGCTGCAACTGAAAAGTTGCGCGTTTGACGCTGTGCGACAAGAGCCTGATGCTTTATTTAAATATGTATACATCCTCCGAAAGCCTCATTACGGTCGGGGATGGGTGTCTCGGGTTGTGGCGGATCGTGCCTTCCTTGCACAGCTCGAAATGCTACTATAAGACCAAGCATCTCAAATGGCCAACATCCAGGGCTAGAACCGTGTCCAAGAACTCCTGGTAGTTAACCTAGGTGAGTTGCCCCAAACCCCTGATTCTAAAAGAAACAAGAATAGGCGTACGAACCACACACCCATCCACACCTCCATCACGAGACGAGGTGTGATGGTTTGTGCGCCCCCATGATCATGTGAGCTACACAAGATGGCTTTCCACAGCCGTATATTCAATCATGACCGACAGATCAATGGGTAGGGGTGATACAAAGCCCATTCTCACAAGGTTAGCTGCTTGGGTACCCCCTGGTTTTCTTTGTCTGTCTACTCTTGGCCCTGGAGAAGTCACTCTCGAAAATAAACACGGGGAGGAGCAGTTTACAGGACGTAGGAGCGGGGCACCTGGGGCTTCCTCCCAACGGCGGGATACTCCATTGGAGAGCCCGCCCAAGCTGGGCAGTTTCCTGTCCTCTTTACATATGATCACTTACCTTGTATACAATATGAGTTTGGCAGTGATCAGTAAAGTTCGCTTCATTGTATTACGCTGTACAATGATGATCCCAGGCAATAAGGTGTTGTTCCGTCCATGTTCCGCTTGTTTCAGTGGGTACATGAAGCTAAGGGCTGATTCCGAATACCGGACCGTCAATCAACGCACCAAAGAACAACACACCGAACCGAAACGCAAAGGCCTTGTGTGGCAGGTATCAAGAAGCTCCCACACAGGTACTTCGGTTACCCTCCCACGTTGGACCTACGCCCCATCATCATCATCATCATCGTACAGCAAAATACAGTGAAGCAAACTTCGCTGACCGTTGCCCAACTCGCAATGCATACAAGGTCAGTGGTAAAATTTGAGGTGGACAGGGATTGGATCTATTTTTGAGGGAGGTGAACCATCATGGTCAACACACAGAGTACGCAATCAAACTCTGCATACATACCGTTTCAAGCATTCTGACCTGATAAGAAATAACAAGAACACCACTGCTGCCGGTTCGCTGCCATATCCTTTAATGTCTCCAACCAACTAGTTGTGGAGTCTTTCGGACCCCAACCTGGAAGGCGAGAGACTCTACTACTACTACTACTCTACTCTACTTAATGGCTGTGCATTTCTTCATGCCTCGTCTTCACGTCA